TAGATTAAAAGTTTATACAAGTACTTCTGTGACATATTTAGAAAAAATGACAACATATGTGAGCTTGTCTAGAAAGCATACCAGAGTTGTTCCACGGTGGCACAGATCACAGTAATTTTATCGATGTAGGTTGTTCTTTTATTACCCACAAGAATTGCAAAACACTCCAGCACAAGGTGGGTTGACAACCTGCTGTCCGTGGGAGCTTCTGAACACAAAGAATTTTTATTCTTAAAAAATAAAAATAAAAATTGAATTGCAAGTTCGAGTCATCACTTTTTAATGCCCTCAATTTGCACAGATTCCATTGTAAGCCTATTTTGTTTCTTGATCACCTTTTCAACGGTCACTTCCAACGAAATTCTCCTTGATATTTAATATATTAGTCTGCGTGAATTTCAAATTTGATTGGTCACTTTTCACAATATATATATATATATATATATATATACATATTTGCATGCAATATTAAGAACTGTTTCCCTCAGTTGGCGAGAAAGAAAGCACTCATTAAGAAATATAAAAAAATGTAGCTTATAAACATAAAAGGAACATTTATAATTAAATATTTTTAAACAAGACAAAATAGAAATGATATAACAGAATAAAACATAAAATAATCTGTCATCCCTAAACCCAAATGCAAAAACTTACAGCTTTAGGAATTTCTTCAAATTTGAGCTTATTCAAATAGCTTGGATGAGATGAGAATTTTGTAATACCACATTGAGGCTCTATCCAACACTCGGTAATCAACTGTAATTCCCCATCAGCTTCAGTTAGTTCAGTATCATCTTCTTCTGATATACTTCATGAAGAAAAAAAAAAAGAAAATTTAATCAAACCCATTATTTCTACAGTTACATTTGTTTAATAAGATTTTGTGTTGAGTTATAAAGTGCTGTACAATCAATATGAAACGAACTAAAATCTTGCATGAAAATTTTTGGCTTTATTTCAAAAAAGTCAAACATTTTTAAAGTTTTGGAACCCAATGCAAAATTTTAAAAAAAAATGTCTAAAATCATGTGAGTTACAAAAAAAAAATTTTTTTTACTTGTTTAAAATAAATTGTTAATGAGTAGACATGGAAATAGTTTTTTTTTTTGGGGGGGGGGTCATTACCAAAAGTTTCTTTCGCGACATTTTTTAAGAAAAAAAATTTTACATAAATTTAAAAAAATTAAAAGGTGCTACAAATGATTTAAAAACATTTCAAAATAATTTATGTCAAAACAATTTGGGCAAATTCATAAATGCTTTTTTAGAATTCTTACAAGAAATGTGCAGGAATTTTTTTAAAAATTAGAATGCATTTTTAATATTTGGCGTTAATAAACTAATTGAAATATTGATGATTTTGGTAGTTATGGGGGCATTTTACCACATAAATTGAAATTTATCAATACTTGAGGAGCCCCAATGTACAAAACTTTTGTTTAAGAAAATTAAGTTTCAGGGTACATTTAAATATCAAAGAAAACTTTGCATTGCATTTATGACTAAGAACATTCTTTCTAGAATATTTTGAACCAACACAAAAAAATTTTTTTAGTCATATTTTCATGGTATGATATTGTGTCTTAAAGTATGCCATTAGTCCTACTTTCCTAAGGCTGGCTGACTGCACTTACATATCTTAAATGATTGGCTTCATATTCACAATGATCGTACACTATTTGTCGGAGGCAACTGAGATTCAGGTTGCTGCTAAAATATAAGGTAATTTTGCTGCAATTGGTTCAAGAACAACTAACTTTGGCGTCAAAATTGAGGCCATCAGTCAAGCTGCCTCAATCATTAGGCTGTTTTCCTTATAGTCACTTAGGTTATCATCAAAATGTTTGAATTCTTTTAGATAAATTATAATATTAGAAGTACGCAATTCAAATGCATCTTGACAAACTTTTAAGCAATGAGCCAATAGAATTGCAGCCACTGTGATATTTCTCATAATGAGCAAGCTGACAGGCTAACTAAAGCTGGCTGCTCCTTATCTTAGTCATGTTGTAATTACCTTAATTCTAATGTCTTTAATAATGTAAAGTGAAAGATTAAAAGTGTGATTAAAAATTATTTTGTGACTCAGGACAGAGGAAAGATCTCTGAAGCAAAGCAGCTTATTATCTTCTCTTAGGCTAAACACTGGCTATGCCTAACTCTTGAGATCACATGACTTTTTAGAGGACACCTACACCACATATGTGTCTCCTCTTCCCCAAACTAACCTAAATAATCAGAGAGGAGCTTTATGAACTTGGACTATCTTTTATCATGTTCTGCCCTTTGTGACAAACATTTTACAAAGGATAATTTATTTAACTTTACTGGGTTTTTAGAAAAAACTTAGGTTTTTAAATTTTTCAAGATGTAGAGAGAAAAATGAGTTATAGTCTATCATGGTAACTGCACAATGGCATGGTACCATTAATATAGCCATGTTTCTATGTCTTCATTCTCTTTTTATTGCCAACAACAGTTTATCATCCACATACTTTAGGCAATAATTAGGCAACAATCAGGCAATAAAGGCAATTATGTGGCCTAGTATAAAACTGCTTTTCACAATTTATTTTGCTATATCCTGCTAATGCCTTGATATCAGACTGAGTGTCCTCATCTTAACTTAGGCTTTCTTTTAAAACCCACTAATGAACATTTTGTTGAAAATATTGATAATCAACATTATAATGCTGTACATGCTTACTTTCAATAAACAATATAATTTTTAGTAACACAAATTGCAATAAAGTATAATACTGTTTAGAGTGAACAATTTACAGGTCAAATAACTTACAAATCACCTGAGGTTTCAACATTAGAAAGAAACAATATTATAATTGCAGGCAAATGAAAAATAAAGCGAAGTTTAAAACTTGCTGATGATATTTCAGAACATGCATGTTCTGAAAAACTTTTCAAACAAAACTGATGTTATAAAAACTTTTCACAAGCTAAAGTCAAAATTACTCACCTATCTTTCACTGTAGTATTCGTATGAGGGGGGAAAATTATGTATTGAATTGTGCAGCTATTTTCTTCTTTTTTAATACTAGAGTCAGCATTCAAAGAATTGTCATATGGAACCTGAAGTAGAAAAGATATATATTTCTTAAAAAAAAAGGAACAAAAACAATACTTAAAACCTAAAAGAAATTAATTTGAATTCTTTAAAAAATTTGGAGGAAAAAAACATTTTTGAGCAAACAGTATTGTTAATAATTTTTTAAAAAAAAATAAGCCAATTACATATTTTATTTCTGAATAATTTTAAACTTATTGAAAACAGTTTTGTTTGTATTTACAAATAATCCACAAATATATTTGAAATACTAATTTAGTTTTCGTTAAAATACCCAACTTACATTCAAAAATTACCTCATGAAATTATTCATAGAAAAAATTTAACTGAATTCACTATGTAATGAAAATTTATTTGAAGAGATTAATAATTAAACATGATTACTCACCATGTAGCATGATATTACATCATGACATGAAGCATCATTCTCAATAAAAAATTTCGCCAGATTTTACATTAAATTATAAAGATTGAAAAGTTTTGAGATTCAGTTAAAAAGATTCAAGAGTAATAATTAAAAGCATAAAATTTAATTGAAGAATTTAATAATTAAACATGATTTTTCACTTAAAGTTCATATGCTCGAAAAATTTTAAGGAATTGTAACATTAAAAAAAATGATTATATAAAGGGAAAGTTTAGGATACCTCAATCGGCATTTCTTGAACCATATAAATAATACCTAGCCCAGAATGAGTGAAGTGGAATCCTTCTTGGAGTCTGACACTGAAATTTATAAAAATACAATAAGTTAACAAAAAAATGAACATTAAATGACCTGCTCTTCTATAAATAAAATAATGTAATAATTTCATGAATAAATATTTAGAACGCATAAAGCTATTTCAATGCTAAATTCAAGAGTCATCATCATAAATTGCATAATATACATAAGCTGAGGCAATTTTTTAATTCTCTGCTGACACAAATGATGTATGTTTATAACTTCAAAGATAAATAATTTAAAGTTGTAGCACTAAAAAATATTTAGAAGTATTAAGACCAACATATTAAAGACCGATTACATACATACGTTTTTTGAGTAAATCTTGTAAGGAATGATAATCCCTACCCAAAGGCAGCCATACAACAAATAGTTTACACACGTTGGGCATACAAAGAAAGTTGAGTGCTTTTTGACAAAAAATATCATTTGAGCACTAAAAATATACACTGAATATTCAAATTCAAAAGGTATTTTAACTAAATGAATAGCCAAAGAAGCATAGATTTTTTTATTTAAGCATTTATAGTATTTACTGAAAATAATTTATATGAAGAGAAGAAATATGTTTTATACACTATTGATCGATTACATACAAAACTGTATTGTGAATAAATGTATGAGTTTGCATTGTATTCAATTTGTTCAATTATTCTTTTGAAAACTGAGCACATAAATCACACAAAAAAGTAACATTTTAGCAACTATCTTCATTGATTATTAAAATATATATAAAAAGAATAACATTAATAATATTATTAAAATTTTTAAATAGTTAGAGTTTATATTAATTTTCAGTATTTAAAATTTATTAAACCAATTTTTTTCTTTACTTTAAGAACATAAAAATATTTTAAACCCCATAACAGCCTATTTCATAGCATCAGAAGTGTCTATCTTATTAACAATATTGAAAAATGCCTTTATTTCAGATATTATGTAAGGCTAAATAAGATAAATTCTTTAAAATAATAAAACAAGATTATTTTGTCAATTTTAATAACCACAGTATAATATTTAGTTTAAAACTAACTACTAATATAATAATATTTATTTAAATTTTGGGCATCAGTAACTATGTAAAAATGAAAAAAAAGATACTTTTGTAAAAATTAATCATAAAAAATTTACAAAATCTTTCATATTTCAAGTTCAAAATAAACCATTGATAAATAAACAATGGATATATGAACTGTGAACCATTTTCATGCACTCTAATATTTAATATACCATTTTATCAAAATTTAAGTTTATTTTAATAAATATATATATTTTTATTTTTATTTTGCAAGAGCATGATTATTTTGGCATCAGACTTTTTATATATTAATTTAAATTATTTATATATATTGGTGAACAAAATTCCTTAATTATAGCTTATTAAAACATTGAGACATTACCTTTGCTACTATGCAAGATATCTGTCGAAACTAAGGAAATGCCATTATAACTGAAGGGAATAGATTTGACATTAAAATTACTTATAATTTAATTTATTAATGATCAATTTCATAAATTCTCAACATTAAAAGTGTGTATTTACTTTTAATTGTAAAACTATAAAAATATGAACTAAGCAAAAAAAGTTAAAATATTATTTGATTACCTCGTTAGAGCATACAAAATTTTTGAGGCAGAATTCAAATCTAATGAAGCATTCATCTCATATTGTAAAGTCCAAACCCATCTTTGATGCAACAAATACTTGCTTAGAGTTATTAAAGCATCTGTATATATGCATGAATCTATTTGCTTTTGATTATATGAAACTCCTTTAGTGAAATTCAAGCTTTCAGAAACAGATATCAGAAAATTGGAGGGTAATTTTTCATACCTAGAAAATAATTAAAAACTTATTAGAATAAATAAAGTTATGTGACAAAGAGATGAAAAAAATTTTTTAAAAAAATTTAAAAAAATAATAAATAAATAAATAAAGCAAGAGACATGATAATTACATTAACTACAGTAATAAAAAAACTAAAGAAGCTAGTTTAGATTACAGTGGCGCACATTGTTTTTTGAAATATCCTACTGTTATAAAACATCCATTCTTTTAGAACACATTTAACAATACCTATAAATTAAAATTGAGGCTACAACCTGCACTTGAACCACCAATAGGGTTTAATCCTTCAAGTTGATTTATAACACAATCACAATCATCAAGAAGAAAACTACTGACAAAAGCAACAGAAGTATACATTTTGAAAATCGTGCACAAATTCAACTTTAAAAAAACTCGGTGATCCAATGTCACAATAAGGAAACAATTTTTATTTAAAAATGTTGCTGCATAATTATTTGTATATTTTTCAAAAGCTATAAAAATCAAAAATTGATTATCTTAATAATTATTGTAGACTAATTAATTACATTTATTGGTATTAGCAACATAGTTAAATTTGCTAACCATGATTCATCAACAATAGGGATAAATGAAACATTTCTACATAGGTGATTATGTATTTTTTCACATATATTTTAAATGCATTTTCTTTTAATCGTTTTGTCTCATAAATGTAAATGTAATGATTGCTTACTTACAATAATTGCTTATGTAACGTAATAACTAAATATGTAGAAACGCTCTATAACTATTTAAAAGAAAAAATTTGTTGATTTATCTTTTATGTGACAATCAAAAAGCTTGCATTGGTAGCTGACAATGCATAAATTCTACTTACTTCATCATAAAAAATCATTATAATATTTACACATTTAACTGAGCTATAATACCTAAAGACATATATTTTAATATGGTATTTTACCAGCAAAAAAAAGTCTCCCTTTATAACTCAATGAAAAAAAATGCTCATATGTAAAACGCTTGGTCGGTTAATTAAAACTTACTACCAATAAAAACACTTTATTGTTAACTAGTATGTTAACACAAATAAAAACTATATAGTATTTTTTTTCCACATCGATCAATGAAACGACTTAAGTCATATAAAAATTAAAGAAAATATAATATATTATTGGAAAAACAACAACAAAATACCTAATTAATATTTTTTCAACAGGTTTCTTCAAAAACAAACAACAGGGCAACTCGGAGGAACTAGAATTTGAACCTTTCAAAAACTGAGGAGAATAATCTTTAGTGGATGTTCTTTTGCTCAACTTCAAATTCATTATTTTTTCTCGCAGCTTATTAACAATCTGTAAACCAATAAACAAAATATCAAATATGACTTTCAATGAAATATCAACATCAAATATGAAAATAAAATAAATGATATTAAAATACAACAATAAAAATAGACATTATTGTCTAAAATAAAGTATAAGGCTATCTTAGATCTTTCTAAAACATTTCATTGGGTTTCATCTTGCTAATTTAAATGTCTGGACTTAACCTTTTTCATTGAATTTGACTGTACTTTAAGTAACAACCTTTCTTAAATGTTATTACTTGTAATTGCGATGAATTTCTCATTACTGTTTATCGGAAACTGCAGTTTCAATTCTTCCTCACAACCTTTCATTCTAACCCCTTATCAAACGATAGCTCCCTAACACACTTGTTTACAGTCTTCTAAAATTTGTTCTAATTAAGTCCTAAATCCCACAAACTCTTTATTCTGAGCTTTAATTTAATTATTGAATTTTACAATCTAAAAATCTGCTAAAAAATGTATCAGCTTTCAGAAATTTTTAATCAAAGTACAAACATGTCTCACAAATACCAAATTCAAAAATAATTCTAAATCTTAAATATAAAATTGGTTAGCACAGAAGACTTCAAAGTACTATAATACTAAATTCCTAAAGAAATATTATAGTTCTCTATAATGAATACTACTGTCAAGTGTTAGTAATTAATTTTAATTGAACAGAAATTATAACACTTTAATTTTAGCATAAAATTGGATTCTGAAGTTAACGTTATTAATCAAATGCATTATTATATTGTGTCTATAAAATTGTGCTAGTTATCATGCAGGTTAAATTCCGAAACAATGCATAGAAAAATACCAATGTAAATGATTATTGTAGTTAAAATAGAAATTTACAGATAGGAATCATAGGAATTCATGTCAAAACAATTATGTTGAATTTATTTGGAAATGTACAAATCATACATATAAAAGGGACATAATTATAAAAAAGTTATAAAATTTGCCTCTATTTGCAGTAAATGAATATAGAAGTAAGTGAAATATAACAAGCATGAATCACATATCACTTAAAACTGAAATTATTATGACTGATTATTGATGAATAGAAAAAAGAACAATATAACTAGAGCATTTTAGATCTACAACAAAAACGTCATTTTTTAAAATTAATTTTTTTTCCCTAACATTTACATACTGGTAGTAATAATGCTAAGTAATATCAAAATGAAATGAATCGATAGAAAACATTTACATAAATATAATAAATTACTTACCTCAAACCTTTGGTTCCCAGGTAAACCTCCCAAAAATGCAAGCCTTATAACAACACAAGGTGGCTTGCTTGTAACTCTAATGACATAAAAAGATGTTGGTGGCTTATCTGGATCACTAAAAACCAAAAAAAAAAGAGGGAAAATATGAAATTTAAAAATTGAAATTAAATTTGGTTGATATTTAATTATTTAAGAAATTACTATAGAACAAGAAGATAATTTTTTGCAATAACAACAAAAAGTTTAAATATTTTGTAACTTATTGAAGAACTGACACTCATCTCTAAAGAAAAATCATGCAAGAATAGAAGCAATAAAAATTTTCTATTTCATTCAGCACTAAAATTTTACTTATTTCATCTTAAATAAAGTTTTTTAAATTGGCTACTGGTTTAGTTGACAATTATTCAATTACATGAATGATGTATAGATACAATTGACTATAATTTTCTTTCAATTGATTAGTAGAAAACATTTAATTTTCTTGTTTTATATTATTATATTAATATCTATATTTTATAATGAAATTTATAACCTAAATATTACACAAAACTACTAATATATGCAATTAGGAATGGCACATTGCTTAATGTACTGACCTACCTTAATGAAAGCAAAAGTTCAATCCCTGGTTGATAGAACCTGTCCTAACTTCTGATCTAAGGATAACAACTTGTTTGTTAAATACAGGACGGTGGCAATATGGTTAGTTTTGCGCACTGAATTCCGACCATATAGCTGAATGTTGACCATGAAATTGTAAAACCTTAACTTGCATGGCCCTTAGGCCAACAACTAGCAGTTGTAGGAGTACTTACTTAAACAAATACTTACGGCAATATTTGATTAGATAAAAGAGAATGTGTAGCTTTCACACATTATCCATTTGAATTTGAAATCATTTCAATGTTTTGCTCAATTTTGTTTTGAGTTTTTTACTGAATCTAGACTTATCACTGAAGCATTATGTCTCTCTTTCCCCTTTATCGAGTTTAATAATGAAAGTGAGTTAAATGTATAGCAAAGATATTTTATTTTTACAACAATGGAAACAAAAAGATTCAACAAATTTATTAATCTTGGCATAACTTTTTCAATAAAACATTAATTAAAACTGAGAGTACAAGTTTAAATTATATCTAATGAATCAGACAGAAAAAAATTATTTTAATTAAATAAGTACTTCAAATACATATTTTTTACATAGAAATTACACGCAATAATTATAGAGGTTTCTACTTATTTATGAATAGAACAGATTTCTTTTTGGCATATAAACCAAAAATTAAAATTCAATTTTAAAAAAAAAATTTACTTCACAATTTAATAAACTACAAAATGTTTCTACAGAGCTTACACAAATGATCAACCTGTCTGTATGTGTTTGCCAAAAAAAATAACATTTTAACTATGAAACAATTTAAATATATCAGCATTTAAAACCAAATCTAAAACCAGTAAACAATTTTTTTCATATTCTTCAGCATTATATAGCAACACTACAGTGTGATAATAAAAAACTACTTTAATTAATTTGCAAGACATTTTGGAAGTTTTTTTTTTTTTACCTAAAATGTTTGTAATCAAGCTCAATATATCATTTATAATTTTAGAATGAATGTAAGAAAACAAATATAAAACAAGTTTTCTGAAATAAAGTAAAATGCTGAGGAAATATTATAAAATAAAGATCAAATTATAATTGGAATGGAATAGAAATATATGTAACATACTCAAACAAGAGTTTAATGTAGGAATGATTTTCAACAAGCACAAATGAGCTATCCTCACTGAGTAGTGAATTTAAAGCAGTATTTGCCTGTCGACATTGAATGTGTGTATACCGTCCGCTGGCATTAGGAAGGTGGAGATTTTTGGGTAGAGGGTCATGTTGCAGAATAATACCAATTCTATGGGCATGCATCCATTTTTGCCTGTAAAATAACATAAATAAAATGAAGTATTAGGATCCACGCCAATATGGTGACAACTGTGGCCAAATGCTCTACGAATGTTGCTAAATCATACACATGGACGATAAATTATAATTCGATTCAAATAGAATAACTGAAATTGACTGGTATAAAAGCTTGTAAATTTAAAAGTTGAAATTTTAAATCTACATGTGTTGTGTTTTGCATTCACATACTGACAGTATAATTGTTCATAAATGAAATAATATTTTTTGCTCATTTAGAACTGACTTTATTTAAAATTTTATACATTTTGATAATTATTTTCTAATGTAATATTTCGTTAGTTCTTACTTCTCTGTTTCTTCATTTATTGATTTATTTGGTTTCAGCATTTCAATCTCTATGTTAAACCCATTTACTAATATTATTTTGACTTTTTTTTCATTTAATCTTAATAAATACTGATCTTCAATCATTATGAGCTAATAAACCTAATTAGTTTTAGGGAGATATAAATATCAATTAATAATTTTTAATGCACATGAATTATATAATTGTTAAATGTGATTTTTTTCTTCTGAAATTAGCCTACCATATTAAGTTTTTGGACCACTAAATGAATACCCAGGTGGTCCTATTGAGTCACTAAATTTTTATTGCTGGTGTGAACCTTATAAATTACAATTGAAAAATATTAACATGATTCATTTTAATATTAAAATGTGAAAAAAATGATAAATATTTTAGTCTAATTAAAGCTTTAAAAAATGTATGCAAAACTAGAGCAAAATGTTAAATAATAAAATGTATACAGTATGATTACGTATCCCATATGATATTTTTGCATTAATTACCTTATTTTTTTTTATCAAGTATAGAAATATAGTAGTTGAAAAAAATAGTACAATTTACAAATATGTCTTAAATTCTGCAAATTAATAGTATTTATCAATTATATCATGTTTTTTTTTTTTATTTAAGGTTATACTGGTGAAGAAATGAATAACAGAATCACAAAGGATAAGAAAATACTTAGTGACATAAGGAAATATATGCTGCTAGAAAGGTCTATGCACATTAAAAGATTTAAATATAAATACAGAGATCTTACCAAATGTTTATATCCAGCATGCATAAAGTTTTCCAATATTGTGTAAACTGCATAAATTCCTTTGCTAAATTTCTAAAATAAACAAGTTCAGAGTCTAGATTAAAACTTTGAAAGTTTACATATATTCTTACTTAAAGTACAAAAAATAATATGTAACAATAATAGAATAAAGTAATAGAAAAAACAAATCTTCATGATACAAGTACATTTTTCTTGAATCACAAATAATATACTGCTTTACAACCATATTTTTTAATAACTGAAGAAATCCATGGATTTTATAACAATCTAGTTTCGTACATGAATTATACAGTGGAAAGGCTGAATATAGAATGACTCTGTATCCAAAATCAATGGGATTTCAGCAAGCCCAGAAAATAGATTTTTCCAGGTCTTCAAAATAAACAGAGATCTAAACACAAGTTATCCACTAAAAAAATTATAACTAAATAACAATCAACATCAGTTTTTATACAATAACATTATGTTATTAAATAAATGACCTTTGATTACCTAAAAATGTTTCATTCTATAAAATAAATGTCATTAATAAGACATTTTTAAAAAAATGAAAAAGTAAAAAGGGGATAAGCTAAACTTCCTGTGCAAATGAAAGCAGGTTCACTTTTTTATTATAATTATTTGATGTAAAGAATAAACAACACAGATATTCAGATAAATATAACATTATAAATAAGCTACATATTGAAAAAGAAAATCAATCCTATTTAATAATAAAAAAATGCTAGATAAGGAACAAAATTGAGTAGATTTTTTAATGAAAACATTTATAATTTAAACCAGCACAAAATCTGTCTGCTGGTGTATCTTTTAAGATATTATGTTATTTTTTAAATGTTAGTTATCCTAAATACAACAAGAGTAAATGAAAAAAAAAATTCCTCCTTATACTTATGATTTTAAAACAGATCATGAACATAATTTTTTTTGGGAGAAAGTTAAAATCTGGATTATAGATATTTTCGGATTTCTGGATAAGAGACTTTGTACTGCAGTTCATATATGTTATGAGCTGTTTATTTGGGATTGAATAAGATTTTTAGCATGCCACTCTACTCAACTTTTGGGAAACTGTTTTTTTCTCCAGCTTTTAATAACTTTTTATGATTATAAGCTGGAATCAAAATTTAACCAAAGAAATACTTCAAAATTTATCAATTTATTTGGCTAAAGAATATTTTAAAAGTTATAAATACAGTAGTTGACACTCAATATGATAAACCCTGTAGTCAAAATGAAAATGAACCTTATAACATAAGTTTAATATATTGTGACTAAGCAAAATTTCAGCAAAAATTTACTCTAAACTCATAATGCTGTCAAATATTATGATAAAAACTTTATTCTTCTATCCATTTCTTACAAAATTTTTAATTCCCTTCATAGAAGTATGGCTTTATGCTAGCTCTGAACAGCCATTTTCATTATTAACATACATCAAGAGAACTGCAAAGTCTAAGCAAAAATAAAATCAAAAAAATTGTGAATAACATGTGTTTCAACTCCAAAATAAGTCACCTATTACAACACTTCACTTTAAGAGTGATTTTTCAAACAAGAAAATTATAACTGATGAATTTATAGAACCGCTCGTAAAAATATTTATATAGGTAATAAATACATACAAACTCCAATTTTTACACCAGGATGCAGTATACACTTTAGACCTCAATAATGAAAAGTAATTGATATTTCACCACCTTCTTGACTATAGATTAGGCCTAGGACCATCTATGAAAAAAATAGATGGTCCTGTCACTCTTTTTCTCCATACATGTTTCACGTTTACTGTGCGGCAACATTAAAAAAAAAGCAATTTCGATCATTTCCTCGAAACTTCTTGTTATCCACTGATCTATTGTCAATGGAAATATGTTCGCTTCAAAAACGCAAATACGTTTAGTTTACACACTTGTTTTAGAGTGAATTTCTTAGAATAAAAAAAATTAACTAAATTTCAGTCGCAATATTGGAATGAACGATTTAGTTTGAAAGCTCTAATGGGTGTTAAAATGACATCGCCTCTATGGGATAAAAAACGAGACTTCGTGCATCCGTTGTTATAATGAATAGGTCGCAGCAATGGAGGTGGGGGCTACTAAAGAACATAGACTGTATAACAAACCAAGTATACACTTTACAATTAAACTATTTTGAAAACTAAATCTAACACTTACTTTGAAGAAAGAGCTGGCAAAGAAGAATTTGTTGGGAAATAAAATAAAGGCACTCCATTTTTAATACTTTCAGGAATGGTGTAATAGACAGGATTATGAGCAAAGGAATGCAGCTGGGTTAAGATGTGGTCAGTATTTGATAGGCTATAAAAAATATAAATTAAACACAAATTAAGAGAAATTAAAATAATAAAGAACTAGAATGTAACTAATATTCTTACTTTTTTATGTAATTCCAAAACTGAGCGATGACAGTTTTCCTATAAATACTTTTAATAGGCTGTTTATCAGAACAAGTTACATCATGTAGAAATTCATAGCATCCATCAACAATTACTTCGAAATGACAATTCAGCATATCAGAACTGTTTTTCCTAAAGGAATGAAACAATCATAATAAAAATAAGTTACTTCTTAAATTTAAAAATTTTTAAACTCTAGTATAAATAGAAGTCAATCACTTCACTTAAAAGCAGAATATTAAAAAAAAAAAAAAAAACGTAAAATAGCAAAAACAATTCAGTTTGAATACCTGCCAGGACTGCAAGTGATTATATATTCAATGCTGGTGCTTAACATCCAAGGAAGAGTCAATTTTACTTCAGCTGTGTTCTTACCTAAGAAAAAAAATTAACAATTTTATTTTTTCCGGTGTGATTATACATCAAAGAAAATAAATTAAATTTAAGTTTTTGTAATTTGAAAAACGTTACACTCAACTTATTAAACATATGAGGTGGGCCAATGATTTGAAAAATTCAATAAAGAAAACGGGAAGGAGATATGAAATGTACAGCTGCATTCTGCTTAAGAAAACAATTTTATTGTGATTAAATTTCAAAATTAGTTAATAGACAGCAATGTTGATAGGAAAAAGTAGAAAACAATGTATTCCACACTATTCCAACTATGATGTTTGCACAGAGGTTTGTTAATTTTTTTCTCAAATTGCATCACGTTGTTGCATTGGTTATTTTAAAAACACTGTTTTTATAATATTTCTCAGTTGGCTATCCCATTTATTGATGAAATTCGTAACTAATTATGAAAGTTCTTTGAGGTAAATTTTTTTTTTTTTGCTTCCAACTGAAAATGCTGCATTCTGTACTTTCCTTTCACCAGCCTGTTTCCTTATTCTTCAAATTGTCGGTCATTTTTGAATATACAAATACACAATAATTAAGAAAGATAATTGATCCCTCATATTAATTCTTTTTTTTCATATACATACACTATTTCTTAGCATCATATTGGAAAATTCTTTTTATCTATTGCTTTATTCTGTCAAAAATAAATGCTTCTAAGTATCAATTTTTTGTTTAAAATATTGACAATTTGTTAAAATTCAGTTTTACAAAATTTCTATTTAATGCAAATTATAAAAAAGCTGTAAAAAAATTAGATTAAAATGTTTTTTTAGTATAATAAGCAAGAAAAAGCATTTAATTTCTGTTTTCAATTCCATACACTTAATGAAGACCTTTGAAGTTGATAGGCTTAATTTATTAATGTTATAATGAAAAAAAATTAAAAATAGCACTGTAGAATTAATATTTCATATAAAAAAACAATTTGTACTGGTTAATAAGCTTTTTGAAAGATTGAAAAAAATTGTTTTACAGTTTCCAAAAAATACTTAAAACACTCATTGCAAGTATATTTAATGAAAGAATTAATTACATCACAGTTCTCTATTCAATGCCTAGCAAAAACAAATAAAAAAATATAAGAGTTGTTAAAAGTGTTATATCATATCTACAAAATCCTTACCAACTAACTTATCTATAACACACACATATTTTGAAAAATTTTCATTTAGATAAGTTACGAAAATATATTATATATATTAATAAAACTAATTGATTTGCTAAATGCACCTAAAATTAAGATAAATAATATAAGATTCTGGGAAAAAGTAAGAATTAAAAGTAAAGATTTTAATGAAATAATTTTTTTAAATTATATTATTTCACAAAAACATAGCTAAATCACCTGTAAAGTAGGTATTAAATGTTTTTTTACATCATACCTTCATCAATAGAAACACTTTTTACACTGTAACCTTCTCTCAGACGACAGGATAACAGATTTTCTAAGCTAACTTTTAATGTTCCTTCAGTGTGTTTTTTTCTTACTCTTGATTGGTGATGAACTGTGTAAAAATGTGGGTTTCTGAAACAGAAAAATGTAAATGAAATTTATGAAAAAAATTTTATAAGTTTGCTACGCTTATACCTGAATTTTAACAACTGCAGATTTTCAATTAACAGCAATGTAACTAAATTCTTACTTGAAAATAATTTATGCCAGAAAATTATATTCATTCAAAAAACAATTTATTCATAAATTAGTACAAGGCAATAATTTGAAATAAATAGCGTAACAAGGCATAGTACAAGAATAGTGTTCTTGCGAAAGATTTGAGAGGTATTGTAAATAAACAAATGCTGAAAATACAGCCACATCAATAAGCTAATGTTAAACATACAGTCGCATCAATAAGCTAATGTTAAAAATAAAATTATAATGTATAATTCCAACTATAATATCACAATAATCCCCAATATAATATGTCATTATAAATTTTTCACAATGAATTAGAAATATTGAAAAATTAACTAATTCACTGACCAATTTGCTTCAAATGTCACTAACTATTTGAAGCAAACTACATATTATGAGCTCTTTAACATGGCACCAAATTTTTGCAAAGCCTGAAAAGTGGAGAATTTACAAGCAGTTCAAGTATCAGAGAGTTGAAATACCCACCTTTCTCTCTTATTATGCAAATAAACAATTTAGTGTTCAATGAAATTATTGATACTGAAAAACACCAACCTGTATTTTGAAATAAATATAATTACAAAATTAAGGATATGATTATTTGCAATTTAGCAGACAAATCAAGCCATATTTGGCATGAATGCTCTTATATCTAAATTTCTAAAAGTGATAAATCAAATTTTCCCTCACAGAATATTTAAATATTGAAAAAAGAATTATGACTAAAAAATATGTCATGTGGATGCTTTAACCTGCATTGGTTGAAAAGGGACAGTCAGCAATAGTTGAAGTTATTTATAGTGTGCTTCAATGACTTTGTCACAAAGCTCATACAATTCTTTTTTTTTCCTTCTTTTTTGAAGCAAATTCCATGTTATAGATTCTTTAACATTATTAAAAAAAAGAATTATTACCAAATATTACAAGAAAATATGTCATGTGGATGCTTTAACCTGGATTGGGTGACAAGTGATAGTCAGCAAAAGTTGAAGCTATTTATAGTGTGCTTCACTGACTTTGTCACAAAGCTCACACAATTTTTTTTCTTTTTCAAGCAAATTCCATGTTATAGATTCTTTATCATTATTTAAAAAAAGAATTATTACCAAATATTACAAAAAAATATGTCATGTGGATGCTTTAACCTGGATTGGGTGAAAAGTGAGAGTCAGCAAAAGTTGAAGCTATTTATAGTGTGCTTCACTGACTTCATGTCACAAAGCTCACACGTGATTATTTTTTTAACAAAGTAATTATGTAGGAAAGATCGAAATGGACATTTTTTCTCACATTCTTAATTTTTAAAGAATTCTACTTTTGCGTTGTCCACTTCCAATGAGTTGTGGAAGTTGACTAGAATTTAGTCTCATGAAAAATAGATAGCTTTAGCAGTTCAAAGGTTAATGCAAGTTTTGTTTAAATCAATGGAAAAGTGAAGTGGAAGTGTTTTCACATTTCATTTTTTTGTTTGATTTAATGAAGTGGAGTGGTAGAGATAATTTTACTTATTTAGGAAAAGACAATGAAAATTGAAGCAAAAAAAAAAAGGAATTGGGGGAAAGTTAATAGACACCTTATTTGGCATTTTGTAGAGAGAAAAAAATGAATAAAATAGCTAACTTATTTAAAGAGGTTTCTGTCATGGTGAATCAAAGAATCATGAAAGTTTGGAATTCTCTTTAAATGAAATATTATCATATTTTGCACACTTTAATTTCCCTCACCTATGAAAAGTGATTTCTTTCTCTAAGGAATAAAAACAACCGAGAATAAACGTCGTGGAATAAAAACACCCCTTCAATAATTAATTTAAAAAATTTCTCTCTAAGTGTTAAATACAGGTCGACAATTTTAAGGTTTCTCAAGCTTTCCTGTATTCCTTCTATTAAATTGCTCTATTTCATAAAATAGAGATATATATTATGTAACTAACCATTTTATTTAGATATGTATTTTAATAAAAACATATCAATTTAAAAAAGGAATTATGATACATTCCATTTTATTTATTAACACTTTGCAGGACTAAGACTTGTATTCATTTATTACAAGAAGTTTGTTATAGCTACTATATTCTCTGCTATAATGAAACCACTTTATTATAGAATTTTAATGATGCATTTTAACATTCTCAAGCAGTAATGGATATTGAAGAATGGATTGAAAAAACTGAGTTAAATATTTATAAAATTAGACCAATTAAACCGTGAGTTTTACAAATATTGAACAAATTGCTTTACCTAAATGAGCACTAATACTCATTATCTTCAATAGCTTTCTGCAGAATGATGGATGGTAAAAAGATATAAAAAAAACTATAAGAAAATCTTACTCCACATGCCAAAACTTCTTATTAACTTTAGATGGCACAAAAGCTTCAACAAATGATGATGTTGTAGTTTTTTGAAAACTCCAGAAAAGTAAAGCCCTTTGATACGAGTTCATCTCTGACGAATCAGTAAGTTTTACTTCCTATAACAAAATAAACATAAGTATATATTATGAAGTCTCTTAAATTGATTGAATATAATTTATTAAATGAAAGGAAAAAAAATTAAACATATATCAAAGATTACAGCAAACCTTATTAATAGATATAATTTCTTCTTTCCCTATTTCCTGTGACATTTTCAGGCTGGAGTGCAAAGTGCCAAAAAGAATTTAAAGAATCTAGTTCTTATGCGCGAAATCATGTTTATTTCTCAATCTATACACCAAATTGCTATTTTGGAATGTATTTAGAGATAGTTTAATTTAAACTAGATGTCAGAATTCAAACATGCAAGCAAGACATTAACACAAAAATTAAAAATGAATATTGCACATATATTTAGTCTTAGATAATTTTCCCAAATAAAAAAATAGGCACTTTTATGAGTGTTTTCCTCAAAGTTATGAGACCATCAAGATGTTAAAGCAAAGTGAATGCTTTTAAAAATTTATTTAGTAAAAATTTCATGCATTTCTTCTCTCAGATGAAGCCTTAGATCAGTGTTCCTTAACCTTTTTGATATAATGGACCCCTTTTAAAAAATTTTAAGAAGTCATGGACCACCCCCCTGTGAAAAAAATAATTGCAAAAACGTCAATTATTAGAAAATATTTAATTTTATTATTTTAATAGTATACAAAATTTTTAAAATTAAAATTTTTAATGTGAAGGTTGCTGCTGCTTTTCCTTACTTAAAAAATTGAATTGGGGATGGTTTTCAACAAAGCAAACGGGCATATCATGTTTAACATTCAATCGATTTCGATGTTATATTTTTATTGTCACAATTGTGGAACACTGTAGCAAAACGGAATTATAGCTGCCATAACTCGCTTTACAAGCAATGGGTAGGCTTCCAAACGTTTTAAAAATTAGGAGTAGTCAGCGGACCCCCAAAATATAACTCATGGACCCCTTAGGGGTTCATGAACCATAGGTTAAAAAACCCTGCCTTAGATGATTATATAATAAGTGCTTCTTGTAAAGAGAGTTTCTTACATACAGTTTGAGAAAGTTTTACACAAACATAAAATAGAAATTTTAAAGTAGTAATCAATTAATGCTAGAAAAATTTATAAAAATAAAATTTAATGCACACATTTTCACACATCTATTTTATTGAATCCAAAAATAAGGAAGAAAAAAACTTAAATAAAATAAAACAACGAATGTTACATATTACACATACATAATCTTTAGTTGATGGGAAATATGCACCACAAGTTGCAGTTGCTATGAATTCCATCAGCTCAATGTAGGGAATTCGTCCAAAGCAAGAAAAAGGATGAAATGGGCTCCCCAACTGCAAAAAAGAACACGCAATGGTGCTGTTTCGTAACTGAGATAAAAGAGAATCTAAACTTTTGCAATTCGGAAAATTTAAAACACCGTCAGTAACAACAATGATTCCTAAAAAAGAATAATAAAAGTACATAAACTCAAATGTAATAGTACAATTTTAATATGCATAAAGGGGATAGAATTGAACATATTAGTATATCATCGAATCATAATAGCTCAAACTTGAAGAGGGAGATCAAAAACTTCAAAACATCTAAAATCAGATATCTTTAAATCAGCAGTAGAATTTAAAAAAAAAAATTTTTTTTAATGTATCTTTCTAAAAAGTTCTTTTTTCTATTTTTAAAAAAAAATTAATCAAGATGCTCAAGAAAACATTATTTAAAAATTTCATTCAACATTATTCTCTTGTTGTTTATCTAAGAGAAGTGTATAAATTTTACCTAAGTGGTCAATGGTTTTTTTCCCTTTTCCTTTTATTTTAGATAAAAAAAAATTATATAACATTTGTGGGAAAAAACCAAGTTATTGAGGTAAGAGACAAAAAAATAATAATAATAAATAAACAAAAGATTCAGTAATAAATCAACAAATGATTCAGGAAAAAAAAAAATTTTTTTTCAACTTTAAATGCAGAGGGAATTAAAGAAAAAAAAGATTTTTTTGCAAAACTGACATTCTAATCAGCAAAGTTTGATGGACATATTTTATTTTTTTATGCTATAAAAAAAACTAGATACATTTCAGATCACAAAGGCTTATTAAAAAATTATTTAATTTTTACCAGCACTACTGTTTTCTGGGAGCAGCTGTAAGGCAAGAATACCATATTGGATTAATTTTATACTACTGACATCAGCAGATAAATCAAGAATTTTTTTAATCATCTTGTTACTATCAATCGCTCCATCAATAATAGAACCATTGGCATCTTGTGGCATCTAAAAAATTTAAATAATCAGAGAATTCAATTAAAAAATTATCTATTATAAAAAAAATAATAATTATGTTTGTAACATGATTTTAAATCACACAATAAATTAAATTCAAATAAAAATTAAAATTTAATAAAAAACATTTACAGGTCAGGATATAAAATTTAAAGATACAACTTAAATTGATTTTCGATAGATTTATGAAGAAGATTCACAACAAAAATATTCATATTGGAAAATTTCAGCAAAACTTGTGAATTTACTAATTTTAGTTTCTTGAATAAAACTAACTATTGATACATTGTGCACAGTACTTAAATATTACTATCTTTTATCCATGTAAAAATAAATGTCAAATTCTTATGGTTGCATTTAAAATTAATCAAAAGCCTTAATTTTACTAACATAAATTTCTTATAAAGACTCTAAATCATTGAAAAATAATCAAATAGATTCATGAACAGCATGAACAGAGAAAGTATGTTATGAGATCGATATAAATAGTAATTTTGTAACATCATGAAGTATTAAAAATTTCAAAGCAAATTTAAATTTATTTTTTAATAAGAAACTTAATTAAATATATTTTTAAGTGCTATTCCTTTAAGTTTTCTTATCATTTTCCTCTATTTAATATCTGCATGTACAAATTAATTAAAACAAGTTCAATACTTTGTCAGAAAAATGCTGGTTGCATTAGCATCACTTAAAGGAATGCCATTGTTCCAGCAAATTGTATTTAAATAAGCTGATTATTCGATTATAGGGAGAGTAATTACATAAGTCAATCTTAAAAGCTAAGTTTTAACAAAATTTTTATTTAAAATTTTATGTAATATATAGTAAAATGCTTTGGGGGAATAAAGTCATTTTAATGGTCAATAAACAAGTATAATTAGAGCTATCAGTGTTTAATATTTAAATTTATATAAAATAAAATTAATGCTAATTAAAAGTATAGTGAGTATGCACATTACAATACTACTTATTTTTTTCTGATGAAATACTGCTTTGACATATAAACAACAGAAAATTTCTCCACTTCTTACCAGGGTTTGTTGATTCAAATCAGCTTGATTTAAATCACGATTTAAATCATGATTTAAATCAACAAATTTTTATATATATATATTGATTATAAAAGTTAAAAAACAGTGTTTTAAATTATTGATACTTTTATTATTTTCTTTTCTTAGTTTCAAAATTTATTTTAAATAAATTGCTGCATTAATTAATTTTAGTTGACAATATTGTTTTCTTTCTTGGTGTGGGTTAAATTCCCACATATTTGAAATTACATTTTTAAAAATCTTTTGATTCTTGAGATTAAAAGTGCAGATTAAAGTAAACATTTAATGCTGCCTTAATATAGACTTGCCTAGCTGTAGAAAGTAATTTTAAACATGAATTCTTTTCAAAAAAATAATACAAATAATGTTAATTAAAATTCTACCTTTCGAATGAAAGAGCTTGAATTAAAATCTACATTATATTTTATTGGTGGAAAATGTATATTTTTAATGCTTGAGGTTATATTAAAAAGAAATTGCCGTAATATGCCAAAAAAAAGGGGGGGAACGCTGATGAATTCAGATACTTTTTTCCTAATATAATGTCATTCTTCCCTTTCAAAAGTCTATTTGAAGCACTAGCATTATTAACTGGTATTGTTTTCTCATAATATGTTTACAGTATCTTTGACATCTGATTTTCTATAAAGAAATTTTGTGGAAAAAAATACCAATGAGTACATAGATCTTTTTAAATTTATTTTTAGCTTAACTTATCTATTTTGATAGAATTAAAAATGAATATTTTAATATAAAAATATATAGATTAAATATTTATTTATTTTTTGATGAATGACTGCATTATAAACACAATCTGTTACATTTATTTTGTCATTTTAAAAATCAAGAGAAAAAAAAATGGAATCACAATTTTAAATTAAAATTATGGTTTGCTAATTGAAACTTTGTTTTAATAGTTTAAGTACAGGAATGTGTTCAAGCCAAATTTACTACCGCTTAGAGGTACCTTCACAAATTCAACTTTAGGAAAAGCAGTAAAATAATTTCACAAAATACTTTTTTCTTAAAATTTTATTTTTGTGTCTCGTAAGAAACGATAAATCTATATTTTTACAATATTTGTGTTGATTTTTTAATATAATTTCTAATTTTCACAAATTATGTCTAAATTTTCGCAAAATAAGTACCTCTCAGAAAAACCTAGACAGATCCCTGAAGTATTCTTTAAATTCTCTATTTCATCTAATCTTTAAATTTCAATCATGCATTTGTTTCAAAATGGTTGCTATGCATTCAAAGATATATATTATAATGAAAAATTATTTTAGTAAGTTAGAGCTTCTAAAATATTGTTATAATATAGTTTTAATATTAATTTAATTTTGATTAAACATTTATAAAATTTTTTTAACCATAAATTAAAGTTCTTACAGGGTATTTGAATAATAATCAGAAAAATCTGATTTAAATTTTAAAAAAATCTGATATAAATATAAAAAAAATCAGATTTGTTTTTCTAAATAAAAAAAATCCCGAACCCTGCTTCTGACCTTCCCACATTCTAAATAGTGTACGAGTGAAGTGCAAATAAGAAGGTTAATTTCATCTTGTTTATTAAATAACTGTTAAAAATACTTCATGAATTATCAAATGAACCCCTGACACTTGTTTAGAGCAGGAAAGAACTTATTGAAGTGACCACATACTGTATTCTCCTCCTAACTGAAAAACATAAATTCTATTCTATTTTAAAGTAACAAGCTTAGCTCAATTCTTCTAAAAAATAAAATTTTCATTAGGGTGCAATTAAATTACGAACAGCAACCATAAATAATCATTTAAGGGAGGGAATAAAACATTGGCTTCATACAGAATAATTTGGTTCCACTAAATTTCATTCAACACTTAACGAACGTTAATTATCTGATATGCAATTAGAAGGGATGACCGTAGTAGCTAAATCATTCAGCAGTATTTTATCTTTTAATTTTGACAAAAAAAATAAATAATCTATAACATTACGCTTATATAATCAATACAAACGTTCACATTAAAAATTCTTTTTCTTTCATATTACAGTAACTTGAACTTTTTAAAAAATTTCAATAAAATATTAAATAATTTTAATATAAATGTAAAAATTAATAGGCTTACCATAAATTTCAACTCCTCCTCTTGAAGAGCAACAGAAGCTTTGACAACTAAATTACACATAAGAATCAATTTTTTGTGAAGAATGTCCAACAAATTATTTACATTTTCCTTTGTCAAAATCCAACCCTGTATTAAAACCTAAAATCATAATATTTAACATTAAATACACAGTAAATCAAAGCTAACATATATTTTATTTAGCACATTCCAAAAAGGTTAATATTAATATTTTAATAGATATTTAAATTAAATCTTTTAAAAATTCAATATAAATATTTTTAAAAGACTTATTTGAAAGAAAAATAAAATGAACAGAAGCCAAAGCACTACTAGGAAAACATTTTCCCAGCGTTGATTCTGGCTACAACTAGAATAAAGATCTATTTAACATGGAAGTTACCAATGTTAAACATTTATTTACACTTCAACAAGATATTCTCAGGGAATTATCATGCAATAGGTCGTTCCAACTACAATCAACAAAAATGAACTAACAAGCATTTGGTAAATTTTCAGATCTAATTACCCTGTAATTGCAAACAAAGCACTCCAAGATTTAAATAAGCTCTGCAAAACATATTTATGTGAACAAGTTGATACTGTTATATATAAAAACAAATTATAAAAATAAATTTAATATTCTACTGGGCTTTAAAATAAAACTTTACAAGACAGAACTTGATATTGCTATTATGGTTCTAAAAAAAGAAAAAAAATTAATGCATCTCAATAAGAAAAAAGCATTTATAAAAAACCTTAAAATGAGATTGATACCTATTTCAAAACCATTTTAATTTTTTATTATTGCTTTTATTCTTTTATATGTTTTTAATTCTATGAATGTTCTTCTCTAGAAATGTGTACCACCATTTATTACAACATTCAGCAATAAATTTTTTACAGCAATTATTATAACATATTGATTACAGGATTATAGGCCAGTATTTAGTACTCAAGAATGATGTTCAATACATAGGGATTAGATGAGGCATGAAAAAAAAAGTACCCCGAAGCGAAGCAATTGGACAGTAACATTTTAAGAAATTCTGGTAAAAGTATTGGTATTGTAATCTCTGATAAGCCTAAAACTAAAGTTTTATAACATAGCAAATGATTTTAGAGTCTCAAAAAGAAACCACAGTAAAAATAATCATTAAAAGAAATCAAGCTATAAGATAATTATTACAAATAGGAAATAACAAACAAATCAAAATTAGTAGTTAGAAAACTTTATTCAAAATTAGCTTACTTGAGGCAGAGTAACAGAGCAACTAGGAATGTATGCAATAACAGTGACATATATTTGAGGTGCAAAATAATATTTACTGCCAGGAATATAAAACTAAAACAAAACAAAAAACACATAATTTTATTTTTAAAAAAAAGTTGTAAGACTAGTTAAATAAATACTATTTTAAGTAATAATTTATATTTTAAATAAGTGGTAGGGGAAAGTTGGATAAAACGGGATAGTTGGACAAAACGGGATACGTCGCCTATGGACCAGACTATTGCAGCTATCTAGCAGACGACGACAGAAACTTGTTATTTGACTGTGATTATATCATTTTCAGTGTGTCCCGTCCCAAGATCACTACTTGATAGAAAGTTGTAGGTCTCAGAACCTTTTTACTCCCTTTTCTACATTTACGTGCGTTGCTTTTCACATTGCACTGCCTATATATATATATATGGAATTACAATTCCGGTAAGTATTACATTTGATGAGGCATTTATTAACGAGTATTCTCATGTCTAGTCAATCTAATTTTTCCTTTCCGTTTAGGCAGCAGTCATGTTTGTCTTGAAAAGTGTCTGAGTTTGACAAAACGGGACACCTATGAGTTGGATAAAACGGGATAGTTTTTTTATGTCCCATTTTATCCACCGATTTATTTGCTGGCCTAAAACTTCTACTATATTATTATTACTATATTGAAAGAAAGGTAAAAAAGGCTCGTACAAATACATTCACCCTGAATTGGCAGGAGTGAAAAAGTTGGACAGATATGAGACAGTATTCAATGCTGAACAAGAAAAAACGCATGAGCATGTATTGGCTCTAGAAGAGAGATTATTTGGAATAACTCTAACGGACATACGAATGCTAGCATTTGAGTTAGTTGAGAGAAACAATATTAAGCATAATTTTAACACGGGAAAAAATGGCTGGAAAGTGTTGGCTGTAATCATTTCTCAGCAGACATAATGAACTTAGCCTCCAAAATCCAAAACCCATGAGTAGGGCCCGAACAAAAGGGCTTAATCGCACTGCAGTTAAGCAGTTTTTTGGTGGCTTGTCTTCAGCCGAATGAGGAGTTTTGGTTACTGTTGAAACGTGCATCAGAGCAGCTGGGGTATTCCTCCGTCCTATTTCTGTATTTCCTCGAGTGAAGGAAAACCCAAGACTCATGGATGATGCTTTCCCAGGGTCGTTTGCAGTGTATCACAAGACCGGCTGGATCACTAAGAAAACCTTCATTGTTTGGTTTTAAAAGTTCATAGAATTTTCCAACCCTAGGCATAAGAAGCCAGTGTTGTTGCTGCTTGATGGACACAACAGTCACACCAAAAGTTTGAAACTCGCAAGTTTGGCAAGAAAAAATAATGTAATCATCCTAACCTTCCCCTCACATACAACTCATCGCCTTCAGCCCCTGGATGTCAGCTTCATGGCTCCATTGAGCCCGTATTATGAACAAGAAGTTCGAAAGTGGCTGTTCAACTATCCAGGTAGGTGCGCTACAATTTACAAGGTTACAAAACTGTTCAATGCAGCCTACTCACGGGCAGCCGTTGCAGAAACTACCATTAAAGGGCTTAGCGAAACTGATATCAGTCCTTACAATCCTGACGTCATCTCAGATCACCTGTTTGCATTGTCTGTCACCACTGATCTAACAGCAAGAACCTCCAGGTGTTGCACACCAGACTGATGTGTGCAGTTTTAGGATTATTACTCTCTTGTTATCGACCTAAGCTACCCTCTTCCATCCTTCCAAAGTGTGTCCTACCTGTACCTCAAGCAAAAGGACCGCTCCCAGAAACAATAGCTGATAATAGGAAACTGTAGTATTAACATCATATCCATGTAAAAGTGAATTATAAATGGAAGAAAAAGAAAGAATGATTAAACTACAAGAATGAAGCTAGAGAATTGAAGAAAGGACTGCTAAGAAATCCCTCTTAAGGGAGGGAGACACATCTCGACAGTGAAAATTATGGAATAAGCGTTCATGTTTGAAAACTCATAAAATCTTTAAGAACATATTTAGCATCATAATTTTTGTGTAATTAATTATAAAACAACAGTCTATATAAAAATGTTAGAAGCAATAAAATCCCATAAATAAATTTTTAGAAATTTTGCTTTCAGTTAATTGTCCAACTTTCCCCTACATAACATTTATTTGAAATAAGTGATGCATGAATAACTAATGAAATATTTCAATGGATTTCAAAATCAAACTTCTAAATTTTGTATACATTTTCTGTCATACAATGCTAAGCAAAATATCAATATCATTCTAATAATTTAGTCACAACTTTAGCTCAAATCATTTCAGTTATTATATTATATTGTTACGACCATATGACGAGTTCCTTAAAATAAAAAGGCTGATAATTACAAATGAAGATATTTATTTACAAATTGGTAGAGAAAGGAATACATAACTTATTCTCAATTGTGTGCTTAAAAGATGTGCTTTATAAATTATGCGCATATTTATTTAACTACCTAGGGTTTTAACGAATAATGGCAATGGGTTTATAATCAAGTTTTAGATTATTCTTTTGCAGGGATGAGAGTAGTCAAAAAGTGAAAAAGAGGAAATCCAAGAAAATATATATATATATATTCAAAATCCAAAAATTTGACAAAAAAGTGCGATTTTTAAACTTGTAAATCATGTGATTATAAATCCCGTTGGTTAATTTTAAAATTGTATGAATATATGAATATGCATCACATGCATGATTTTAAATTGACAGAATAAATCATGATGCGTAATTTTTAGATCACGTAAATACGAATTACGATGCATAATTTTTAAATTGCGCGAACATGTCTAATTTTTAAAGCATGCATCAATACGAAAATCGATGTTCGATATTACAACCGTAAAAACGAATGACGATATTGGATTTTAAGCTCGCGTGAATACGAATCGCTACATAAGCTTTTAAAAGCGCGTAAATACAAAGCACGATATTGGATTTTTAAATCTCGTAAATAAGAATCATAATGTACGATATTTATGAATCACAATGCGCAACTTTTAAATCAAGTAAATACGAAAATAGATTATCGATATTAAAATCGCGTGAATAAGAATCAAGATATTTGCGGAGTCTGGATTAGCGATTTCTAAAAGGCTTGTTTGTATTGTTTTTAGAGACATAATAAATAAAAATTTACAAGATTAATTGAATAAGCAAATAAATATTTTCACCGCAAATCCACCTCTTTTTTTTCCGTTTGCATTCACGCCAAAAAACAGGAAGCGGCAACGTCTGAATTACGAAAATACGAGCTATCAGGCGACTGATAAAAATACAGAAAATCTTATTTTCTGTGCATAAAATAGGAGAAAATACCTAAAATAAATAAAAGGTGGATGGGTTAGCAGCTAGGAAATAGTTTGAATTTTCTGCTTATCTTTGAAAATCGTAGATAAATATAATTGTTTTATTTCAATGACTGAATTTTCACAAAAAAAGCGGGATATTTAAAAAAAAATAAAAAAATAAACCAAAACTTTTAGAGAATCGGAGTTTTTGATAAAAAGGCTGAAATTCGAGAGACAAAAGCGAAAATCCTCTAAAAAGCGGAAAAATCTCATCCCGATAATAAAGGTCAACCAGTTTTATCCCAAGGAAATTATTTTTAGGGAAACTTCAGAGGAAGGAATGAGGACTTCAATACTTTCGCTCTGCGGAAAATTAAATTCCTCATAATATTTTAACTTGCGCAAAAAAAAATTCCCCCAGAAATTAGCGAGAGAAATGGAAAAATCTGAAAAAAAGCGGAAATCCGCGGAAGAATCACATCCCTGCTTTTGGAATTTATTTGTAACAGTAGTTAATAATATACTTGAACAACTTAATAATTACTTCGTTATATTTACAAGTAAAATCAATTTTTAGAGAGTATTGAAGAAAAAAAATGCCCACGTTTTATAATTATCGTAATATAGCTCAAGTAACATAGATAGTAAAGATTTTGTTACTGTATCGGTAAAAAAATATTAGAAATTGACAAAAAAGAAGTGAATTAAGTCAAATTGATTTTTCCAATGTATTATCTCTGTTATAAATGGGTCTTTTAGAAACCACTTGGATTTAGTATTATGAAGAAAGTCAAACATGATTGATATAAATGAAATAAATTATTGCAATTTATTAATAATCCCCTTTTTATTTGTCTCCATATGAAAACCAAGTGCAGTAAATATAATTTCTGTCAATGTAAACTTTTGAGAAAGAATTATCATTAATGTCAGTATAATCTTTTCTTGCCAAATTGTTGAAAATCTTCTTTCTGTGTAATGCCTTGGAGAATAGCATAAAAAAGTAAAATTTTGAATTTATCATGAAATGATCAAACAAAAGCGTAAAAAAGGAATTCAAAAGTTTTATCTTGATTGTTTAAAGATATTAGTGTTGGAATATTAAAACAATAATTCAAAAATAGTAAAGAATAAAATGTAAAGAATACAATATCTCTTTTAGTCATTATTTCACACTATGTTCAACTAGTTTCAATGAGTTAAAGTTAAAATTCCAAATATCTGTAGGCAAATACTCTAAGATAAACTCAAGTAGTATATTGCTATAAAATATCTTAATTACTTTATAAATTTTTCCTACTATATTAAACACAATGATAACAATGCTCATATGATGTAGTTTTTGTATTGAAACCTTGTTAACTTTTTCAAGAATAATTTGCTTGGTACAAAAAATATATCATTTAAAATTAAATAAAATATAATGCATGCATATTTAAAAAAATATTTTAAAGAGAAGTTTAGATTGCTTCAGCTTTAAATGTGACTTAAAAACAGAAAGAGAATATTTGTCTAATTATGTATCCGATCCATTACTCATAAACAATTTACCATATGAGGGACAGGTTCTGCTTAGTTTATTCTATATTAGCCAAGAATTGAAAATGAAGGGATGCAAAAAAGATTACAATCCAAGAAATTTTGATTGTATTTCGGAGAAAACTAAGACATCTGAAAAGTATATAAAAAATTACATTGATTTATTAAATATTTTCTAGTGGAGGGGCATTCAAAGCACAATTAGCCCAACATCTGCAGAAGATTCATACATGAGAGATAACTAGGAAATTTTCAGTTCAGCCTTAATTTTCGCTTTAAGAAATACAAAACTGAAGAACAAGTAAATTTTTTTTAAATATCAAACAATAGTAGCAAAATAATTCTTAACTGTTAATTTTTTTTATTACTTTCAGTGCTTTATAAGCCAACCTTTGACTGTGTTATGTAGAACAAAAAATTAGCTTTTATGATATACTAAAATAGCATAATTCCTTTCCTTGAAACAACACCTTTTCACCAATGTGGTATGGATAGAAGCCTAGGCTACTGTACGAAACATTAACCATAGCCTTTTAAATGTCAAAAAATAGATGCAGCACCTTTTAACACGTACACATCTATATGTTTATCTTTGAAAAATTGCACAGGTAATTTGATTCTTCCACAGGGAAATGTTTTTAAAAAAATGTGAAAAGGGATTTTGAACTTTTATACTCCTCTTCAACGAAAGCAGTAATTATAAAAGTAATGAAACCATAAATTATGTTTAATTAAAATCACATTACACATTAACAAAAGGAAAATGAACTCCAATTCTTTTCTCAAATTTAGTTTTGGGTATTAAAAATATGGTTACTAAAACAGGGTTTTTCTGATGCTGGGAAGAAATAAAACTCAGTAAATGATCTAAATAGCAACTGACTGGAAAGTTGCTGCTTTTGTCTTCACTTTTACACAATAGTTTTGTCCCCAGAAACATAGAAAGAATAAAATAAAAAGTTCAAACTATTTTCAGAATTTTATTTCTACATCATCTATTTTTTTTTTTTTTTTAAATTAAGATTATTATTAGAAAAAAACTAAATATTCTGCAATTGCAAAAAAAAAAATAATAATAATTAATTAAGTAGGCAAATTAGTTTGAGCTGCTTCCTGTAATACTCATAAACATTATGTTTATCAATACAGTATTTAAACAAATTTGTGTTGCATTTTTAAAAATTATCTATAAAATTTATGACATATTAATATTGATTTAAAAATGAAATAAAACCAACAATCAAAACATGCATATTTCATTATAATAAAAAAAATATCAAAAGAGAAAAAAAAGACTTACCGGTTGACTGATATAAGTTAAACTCTGTTTTAAAGCTAAAAATCCTTCTTCAAAAAATATGGAGTCATGCTGAATGTCCTATAAAATTGGAAAAAAACAAACTAAATTAAGAATCAACAACAAATGGTAATTAAATTAAATTGCAAGTAAACAGCATTATATCTCCACAAGAAAATTACATTTAAATTTTTTAAAAAAAATTTATATCTAGTCGAACATTGATAGCATGATCTTTGATAACATATTTTTTTACACAAAGAAAAATATAAATTCACAATGCATTTGCTATGCTGGTAAGTTGCTAATAAGAAAAAAAAATCCTATTTTGACTGAATTATTAAAATATTTGAAATTCTATTATAATATTAGACTTTTAACATCCCAAATGTTTGACATCTTAAAATTCAAGCTTGTAATATCAAGGTTTGACTGCATAATCATAGACTTAAATTATAAGTTCAAAACACACAACAATTGTTAAATTCCAGCCAAAAGATTGAACTAAAAAATAAGTATTCAAATAAGTAATCAAAACTATTTGTTATTTTTAAAGGCTGATATGGTTGCATAAAAAATTTTAAAAAATTCCACTCGGAAAACATGCAAAAAGAATTATAAGAAAAAACTGATTGGTTTTATAAATATAAGTTAAATACAAATTAATTAAAAGTATAAATCTTAAGTACAAAGTAAAAAAAAAATTTTAATAAAATTACATTTCTATAATAAGGGTTGAATGGATAAGAAAAGACAAAGATAAAATAAGGGTAGTTTTAGAAGAAAATGATGTTTGAAATCATATTTTTGATTATGCTTTGAGATTTTGGAATAGCCTGTTAGTAAGATGTCAGAAAAAATAGAAGTTAAATAACAAGGGTCTGTCTAGGTTTTTATGAGAGGTACCTATTTCGTGAAAAGTTAAACATAATTTGTGAAAATTAAAAATTATATTAAAAAATCAACACAAAAATATGGTAAAGTAAAGAGATATTTTCAAAAATTGTCACTACAAATAAAAATCATTTACGACTGGTAAGTTTTTATATATTTTTCCCCATATGTACAAAAACAATTTTGCTATTGAAAAGTTTTGGGCTTAATGTACAAAAATAATTTTGCTATTGAAAAATTTTGGGCATAAAATTGTATCTATATTTAAAAATCCATAAAAATCATCCATTTTTAAATTTCAACTTGAATTTCGAAAAAAAAAAACACTCATTTAACAGTACTTGCACTAAAAGTTATTGTCGTTATGATAACATTTCCCACTGGGTCATATAGAAAAAAGTTTCACAGAGAAAAAAATTTTTCATAAAAAATAAAAGTCTGTTAGAATAAATTTAGAACAATGGTCAAATGTTTAGAATAATGTTCGAATTTCAACTTCCTGTAATGTTTACAGAGGGAACGCCTCGTTGTTTAATTTTTAAAAAAATTCTGCGAAAAAAAAAGCTCACTATAGGGTGTAAGCAACCGGTTAGGATTACCACACTGCACTATCTGACCAAGCACATGATACCTATTCATATATGCGGAATTTTAAGAAGCGGGGAAGAAAATCTAAGAACTTGCTTTTTTAAAAGCGTTCAATGAAACTACTGTTTTTCCTAAAGTTGAATTTTCGACGGTAGTGCTAAACGTTAGTAAATTTGCCCGGTACAGACCCTTGATTAAAGTACTGGAAAACACATACATTTCAATAGGCATTTAAAAATACTATGTAAAAATACGTAAATTAAAAAAATTTATATTATAAGATTAAATTAGTAAGAAAAGGTAAACACAAAATAAAAGATCTTAAAAGTTGAAACGAAAATCAAATTCACAATCATTTTCTCGGTTATGTTTTGTAATGTTTTGAGATTTTTATTAGTAGCTCATAAAAACATCCTAAAAAAGTACCAAAGTTGCATAAAAACATTTAAAAAAATTAGATTTTTCTCTCCTTAAAAGCACAATCATAGCTTTAAAAAAAATATATTGCTTTATAAAATTAGTTCAAAAACACAACTGCCTCAAAATATCTGAAGTTTTCAATTACTCAATGACATTATCCAATCAAGACAATGATTCCTCAATTTCCAAAATATTCCCTATTATCCATATTTTTATTAATTTTGAAACAGTAATCCTAAACTTATCTTAAAATATTTGACAAAAAATTAAGAAAATAAACAATATTGTGCATATATATTACATAACAAATAAGCAAATTAGTAAAAAATTGACTTACGACAGTTGAAACTGAAGCACTAAGATCCAAACAAAAAGCAAAACGGTATTTTGTTGACAGGAACTTTATCTCTGTTTCCGGCGTAATTTTGACAATCATGTAGCCATCGTTTTTATCAATCTCATAAGTTTCTTCATTCCTTGGTATAGCTGAAATTACTTCTATTTCTTCTGTGGATTTTTCCTAAATTATATTTTTAAAAAAATTCTTATTCAAAATAAAAATTTATTCGCGACAAATAAAAAATTAGTTAGTCAAGAAAGATTTTTTAAAGCAGTTATGTTTTTTAAAGTAGCTCGTAGTCGTAGTTGTAAAAACTCTCAAATATAAACTCTAAAAACTTTCACATTTAATTAAATACAATAAAATTTAAACAATAAAATTAATTGAATACAATAAAAATTTCATTTTGCAAATTTTAATCTTTTAACGTTTTAATCGATGACCCTGAATTTGATTCAAAGCATAGATTATAGATTGCATACTTTTCAATGCAAAAATGAGTGATTGAGGATTCCATAAAAAAAACATCGCATTCTTCATATTTAAGGACTTCCTTTTTTTTTAAAAAAAAAAAAGGTTCATTAAAAATTAAAATAAAACTGATTGTTTTACCTTTAATAGCTTGTAAGATACTTGTTAAATTCTCATTGCAAAAATATGCAGGGTTTAAATTTTTATTAAAATAAAAAATTAACAGGTTTTTTGAAGAAGAAAAAATAATGAAAGCAAAATTTTAGTGATAGAAGTAAATTCTACTTTACTTTAAAAAGTCAAAGAGTTACACTTTTTTAACTAAAAAATTTTAAAACAAAAATTCAGTTAAAAACTTTAAAAAAAGTAACTGCATTTTAAATAAAAAAATTATTTTACCTTTGATTGTTTCCCAAACATTTAAAAATATGTTTCAGTAAAATTTCGTATAAATTTGAGGAACACTAATTCAGAATATTTACCAGTTCATTACAGAATTTGCTTAGAAATACTTTCTCAACAATCAAAATTAAAAAAAACTTTACAATTCACAAACTAACAACAGTTAAAATCTGAAAAGTTTCATAATCACTGTGCAAGATTTATAATCACCTGCTTTTGCAGATCAATAATTAAAATGAACTTTAAGCTTTATGGAAGGTTGTAATTATTAATTCTGAAAAGATATATTAAAAAACTTATTACTAGATTAGATGTCGCTATTCTCAGATAGCTTCAAAATAATATATTACAATATAAATAAATAATATAGACAAATAGGTAGTGATAGGCTTTTAAATAATATAGGTAGTATTGTCCCATTGTATCCCAGCAAATTCTAGATGGTAGTATTGTACCCCAACAAATTCTATGATACAGAACAGGGAGAAATTTTTCATAAAAATATAAGAATATTTATATTTTGTTTCAGAAAACATACTCTATATATGCACTGCTGTTTTTGATAGTGATAATTTAAAAGTTACCATGTTAGTTAGGATATATTAAACCTGGTTCTCTTTAATTTGGAAATTTATTAAATCAAAAAACTAATGTTTTATTTTTAATTTTTTTTTTATTTATTTGTAGACTTTCCACATTTTAGTTGCAGTTAAGTGCTTTTAATAACTGACATTTTAACTGATTCACAGTTTTAAGCAAATTTATACAAAAATTCTCCTGTCACGCACACTACCTCTATTGAATGACACATGGAAGACAGTGCATGAAAGCAAAAAAAAAAATTTATTCTGTACTAGGTTCAAAACTGACAATTAACACTTAAGAAATATGGACATTTTAAGCAAAAATTGAAAACTTTAATTTCTTGAAATAAAAGCATTTTGATGAACTAAACTTATTTCAAAAATGAGAAGTTACACTGTAACTTGTAGAGAATAATGGTTAAATTCCAATTAGCGATATCAGTGGCATAGATATTGAAAATTGTTGCATCATAATAAATCATACACCACATTAGTATTTTGATAACAATTTCCAATTAAAAATATTTATTTGCTAATTTGTTTATATAACACACAAAAGATTTTTAAGCATACACAAAAAAAAATAAAAATTGATATTAAATTATGCAAACTGATGATTTTAACTTTTTAGATGAAAGTTAAATTTTCTGTCTACTGTTTCATATACAAAGATCAAAATGACACTGCAACAGTTTTAATTTTTTTTTATTAAAAATTCTGATAAAGTTTCAACAAAATTTTAAGAGCTCAAAAAGTAACATTTTGTTTTTCAATATTTAATTTAAAAAATAACTATTAACTTTACAAAGCCTGACTTTTTCTTTCCGAAATATTACAATTTCTCAAATGGTTTTTATTACATTTGTAAAACTTACACTTTTTCAGAAAGAAGTACTTTACTTCACAATGAGAGAGGTAGTTTTTTACATGAGTAGAAAGCTGTAATTCAAACAAAGAATGTGAAAACTCACCCATAGTTGAGCTAATACTGCATTGGTCTTAAAAATTTTAAAAGCTAATACATGCTCAAAATGCTTTACACAAAAGTAATATACAGTTTATTTTTCTTCCTTTAAAAAAAATGAATAGATAAAAAAAAATGAAATTTTTTTATTATCTACATGTTTTAAGCAGAGTGTCCAAAACTACAGACCCTAATTTTAAATGTCTGAAATACATATATTACAGACATGAAAGTACACTAAACATTTGATATATTATGAAAATGAATTTTTTAAAAATGGAACTACAAATTTATTAGATTTAATTTAATCTATGACTCTACATGAGCACACATGTGGCAATGAAGATACCTAATTAAAACTTAATTTATATCCAGGTATACAAAATTATCCGGGATTATTTCATATATTTCGAATTGAGGTGTCTCCCATCTTGAACACGTTATATGTTAAAGCAATGATTGTAATAGTATAGTTATATTTCAGCACTTATTATACTGAACAATAATGTTATACTACAATACAGAATAAATTTCAATACCTCACTTGTTTTCCATTTAAACTTTAGGGTCTTGTTCAAATTCCTAAAAAACCATTGAGCTCTAATGTTTCTTGAAATTCTGTAATTGTTTTGCATAACAACATAGACCTCTTTGGCGATGAACGAGGACTCTTCAACCTAGTGATTTGAGAAACATCAGATATTGAAAATATAGCAAGAATGAAAAGGTATTTACAAAAGACATTTTCCTCATAAAAAGAAGGCTCTTTTAATGACTTAACAAAAAAAAAGTTCTTAATATACAGCTGACGATAACAAGCATATTTTTAAATCCTAATGCCCCTAGATACTCTCTTACCCCAAGCTCATCAATTAATAAAATAATTGAGCTTTTTTTTAAAATAACGCAGCAATTTTCTCATACAGAGATCTAAATATGTCAGACAAGATTGTTTAGAAATAGCATTGATGTGGATGAAATTCATAATTCTTAGTCGGATTGTTCCTGGGATAGAAATAAAGTTGAGCCATTATTAGAAATTGATCTAATTTGCATATTTATATTTACAAAAATATATATAATATAATCGATGCTTGATATAATGTCCTGAGGATCCAGAATAAAACAAACAATATAATAAGGTAATATCATAAATATGCAAAACTCCTGAAAACCTTTACGAAGTACTAAATACTGAACTTATTATAACAAAAGCAACCAAAATGACAGAAGAATTCATGATAACAAAGTGTTTTATGTAAATAAAAATACTATTATATATAATACATTTAAATTAAGCAAATTGCATCTCAAAACATACGATAATACAGCTTGTCTTTCTTATTTTGATGTTTATATTTAAGAACAACATTTAAGGAGGAGGGAACTTACAGGACCAGTTCTTTCCAAAGTAATCAAATAGCATTTTTAACTTTTGTTTTTAACAATTTCTGATTTTGACATTTTTTATTTGCTTTCTTTAAAATTTACATTTTTGTTTTAAGTATGAGCCATTTTAAGCAGCTAAATAGTAGCCATTTTCACTAACTAACACATAACTGGAGTATCTCAAAATCTAAGCAATCAAATAAAATCAAAAACAAAATGATAGTAACTACTTGGTGTTTTAACGCTAAAATAACTCACTGATTTCAACATTCCAAAAAAGGATAAAAAACTTTTAAAACAAGAAAAATATGATTGATAAATTTATTAAACCCTTTGAAATGCTTCCTCACAATAATACAATAAACATTTTTAACTCTGAATAAATAATAATTGATATTTCACTAAGCAATTATGTTCCAGACAGATATTACCTAGGATAAGAATAGTTTGTCCCGTGATTCAATGATAAAGAATTCAAGATGCTTCATGAATAATGAGAGATACATTGGGACTCTGAATAAACCGAGACCAGATTATCCGGGTTGTGAATTATCCGCAACAACCACTCAACAAAAAAAGAAAGAAGAATAAGCTCACATTTTATTTTAAACTTGTCAATTATTGGAACTGTCAGAAGCCACAGTTTTTTCAAAAATGAAGAAATATCTTAGATGATTTGAGAATGTTGGCCTGTTCTAAAAATCTAGACGAAGAAGCAGTGGAACAATGGATTAACAAAGAATCAACATTGGATATTGTGTCGTAAGTTTTGTGTCAGAAAAAATAAGGCATGTTGAAGAATTTCCAAAAATTTACCTTTCGAATTAATTTAATTAATATTCTTTTACTGTATAATAATTTTACATTGTCTAACATTTTTCATCAAAACTAGGCTATTAGGGATATTCGCTTATCCCGGACGAAGCATTTCCCAACAAAAGAGTTCATCGAGAGTCTACTGAAACATAAAAAAAAAATATTAGCAGTTTCAAACATTTCCTTTAGAATTTTGCTATTGATTGACTTATTGTCAATGAAAAATGTTTCTTTTGCAAGCAATTAATAGAATAACTTTGTCATCTTATTAATTTCAACATTATGTTCGAAAAATCAGAAAAGAAGAGAATACATTTTATTTACAATATAAGAAAAAAAATAAAAATTATAAAGGAATTTATTATTTACAAAAGAAGAGTGCAAGAAGTACAATAAACTTGAAGTTTCAACAAATTGCAACAAGATAAAAAATTAATGCTTTTAAAATATTATAAAATATTTAAAAAAAAGTCACGTTTACCACTTGAAAACATCAAAAAAGAAAAAAACTTTCCCTACTATCAAAATAAACAACTTTTTCAAAAAATGAAAAATCAAATTGTTCACAACAGATTCCAAACAAAAAGTATAAACTCAAAAATGCATATTTAATTCAAACAGAGAAATATTATTAATTAATAATTAAAATGTTTGAGATACATGACAATCAAAAGATGTACAAGTTTCACTTCAAAATGAATTTACTATTTTCCTTACCGTAGAAGGTCTTAATGACTTGTTGGAAGTCATAATTTAGATTGAAATAAAAACTATAAGAATAAATTATTTAAAAAATGTTCTAGTTTTAGAATAAACTAATAAAATACATTTCGTCATTATGGTAGAACTTTTCTTATCACTATTTGTTTGTTATTGTCCGGTCAGACTGAGAGCAGGTTTGAATTATTTCATCATTTAAACGTGATAAGCTTATAGCTTACATATTTGTTTTATTCCCATTCCTGGGTGGACATCAAATTTCGTAAAAGTATTTTTCTAATGTTAATCGTATTTTCCTAATGTGACGTATAAATGTTTAAATAAGATATGACCGACATCTTTGATATATGAGATGTATCAAAGATAAAATAGGTTATTCAAATTAAAAATTAAAAGCAGCACCACTGACTGCGGTCAGTGTGCGGGTTAGTAGCTACTTGGATTAGTCTGCATAAGGACCAAGGGTGTGCTGTATTGTTCCTCGTTAAACTGTTCTACCGTAAAATGCACGACTTCGCGCGCAGGTCGTCGGGCTACCGAAGCGGGGGTGCCATCCCCTCTGCAGAGGATCAAAATTGTGATGGCATGTCTTCGGATCATCCTCAGGGATGTTTCCCAGACTGTCGCCAATAGCCCATTGGGCAGCTCTAGTGCGACGTAAATGTACTACAACAACAACAATCTGTTATTTGCAAATAAAAAGTTAATTTTACAAAATAATAAATTATATTTCATAGACAAATTTTAATTGTTATTGATATTGTTGTTAATTTACGTCGCACTAGAGCTGCACAATGGGCTATTGGCGACGGTCTGGGAAGGATTCTTGAGGATGATCCGAAGACATGCCATCACAATTTTGATCCTCTGCAGAGGGAATGGCACCCCCGCTTCGGTAGCCCGACGACCTGCGCGCGAAGTCGAGCAGTTTACTGTAGCACAGTTTAACGAAGACCAATACCGCACACCCTCGGTCCCTACGCAGACTAATCCAACAGGTCACCCACCCGCACACTGACCGTAGCCAGTGATGCTTGACTTCTGGGAACCGTGCCTTAACGATCAGTCCACTGCGGGACAGACAAATTTTAAAAAATATTATTTGTCTAAGTGGGTTTCATGCCACGCACTATTAATCGAACCCTAATCCTTCACTGGGACTGTGCGGTGTCTTAACCACTGAATAATTACGACTCTAATCATAAAAAGAATAAGCTGGAAATTTTTGAAATCAAAAATCTCTGAGCAAATGAATCTAGGCAAACAGTTTTTGAGAAAGCATTTGCATTAAAACTTCAAATTTCAAAAATTTCCAGTTTATTATTTTTAAAATTGCCAGAAATATTTTTATTAATTGTTAGAAAGTTAAAATGGAAAAACGTGCTTCTAAGAAAGATAGAAAATAAAAACAATAATTTTGATACCATAATGCTAAGATGCATTTTAATGTAAATCTTAATCACTTTTTTTATTCGTTTATTTATTAATTTTTTATCCATGTATTTCGAATAGTATGGTGCTAGAGACCACATATTGTAGGCTTGAAAAATTTCTTCGTTGTAATTAAGTAAAGTTACTGTCACAGTCAAAGAATGCTCTTTCAGAAAATTTTCACGCTTCTCATTCTCATAACACAAGAATTATTCGTATATAAAAACTTCCAGTACTTTTAAAGCAATGTTTATCATTCGGATATGTAATTATAATAACTGTTTAGATAATTGGTTTTTAAATATCTATAACTTTTAACTATTAGCGCATAAAAAATAATAATAAAATTTAAAAAAAAAACGCGTTAAGAGCAAGCGTATTATATTTCTTTGAATTTTATTTTAAATTTAAAATGATAAGCTTTTTGAAATAAATAATTTAATGTTATATACTCTTATTTTTATACTGCAGACACTCTGCAAAGTTTGAGATTAATGAAGGTATTGTTGTTATTCTAGAAATATGTTGTTCCAGTTGTTAAATAGCCTGAACAAATATACTTATTAAAATAATATAAAAGTGATTTTTTAATTTTTTAAAACATGAAATTTAAAATTACTATCTTTTTTTTCTACTATTTTAAATTGGACGCATAACTACAATATACGACAGCAGAAGAGACTGCTATTATAGCGAGTTTGCAACTATAAGCAACTACACTTATTAATGTTAAAATAACAATAAAAGAAACGGGTGTAACATCCTTGACAACATAGAATGTTGATTTTAATAATTAGTTATCAAAAAGGGGAATAAGTAGCCAATAAAAGATGAAGTCGAGATAAGTTAACGCAAAAGATTTTTTCTCTTGTAAACAGGAAGATAACTTAGCTGGTTGTTACCTAACGTGCGTTTAATTTATAATATAGGATTAAGATTAGAATAGGAAAATAAGGAGATATCATGTAGTTTTTCTACATTAATATTAGACATAAATAAAAACATTTTCTCTTTTGTCCTTTTTCGTGTAACTTTGTTTATTTAAATAACACAAAAATTATTTTCCTCAAGAGAAATTTTTTCAATATCGAGGAAAGCTATTAATTTTTGATTCTTTTAAACAAACTGTATTCGTACCGTAAATATTGGGTAATATGTCGATCGAGCATCACTCGATATACATCGCTCACTGTATCAAGTTTATACTGTTTCGTTTTATTAAGTTTGATTTAAAGAATACATAATTGCGACAATGAAAAGTGCATTAAAATTATACAAAATTGAATGTATATGTTATAAAACTTTACAGAAAAAAATTACAACCTTTAATATTTTGGCTTTTTTTTTAATTGAGTATTTTTATTTTAATATGTATTTTAATGCAACTTAACTTTTAAAACACATTAAGTAGAATAAGTGTTAATCGTGTGAAGAAGGGGAATAAACTTTGTAAAGTGCGTTTATAAAGGGAAAACAATTGTTTTTCCTTACAAAGTGCAAGTTTCCTTACAAAGTGCAGTTGTGCTTAAGCACAACTGTTATTAAGAAAAAATTATTTTAAGACAGTTAATACAATTCTAACATCTCATAAATTTAAAATGAAAATAAAAATAATTCATTTAAAAATTTATTTATGGACTTCCTTATTTAATTTGAATACATTTTTTTTAATAATTATATAGATGAATGGCAAAAATTACTAAAAAATAAGTTTTTTTAAAAGACTTATATAATAATTTCAAGTTTCTAAAATCAATAATTCTTGCGCACCAAAACAAAATGTAATGTTCAGTTGAACACCCAAGATGGAGGCGGTGTTATCAAATCAGCCCATACGTTTTTTTCTTTAAAAGAGGAGGAGAGGGAAGGGAGAAGGGCTAAAGGCATATGTAACCGGACTCTCCCATAGAGTTCTACTATTTCAACTCTATGGTCTCTACCCAGATGGCGTATTCGAGTGTTGCGATCGCCAATAATAAAAAGTTGCATCGCACCCTTTCATTAAAGAATTAATTTAAATTATTAATTAACTCATTAATTAAAATTTAAATGAAAGCTAATTATAGGTCAAAAGAAGCAATTAATATGTGAATAAATTAAGTATAATCTTAATAAAGGATTTTTTTATACATTCTATGAAAAATTTCATACATTTTAAAGGAAAAAATCTAAAGATTTTTTCTTCTTAAATTATTTTTTTAATTTTTTTAATCCACCAAACAATGACAACCTTGTCATAGGCTGCCAAATGACAAGAGTTAGTTACGGATAAATTAGTTTCTGTAAAGTGGCGCTGTTGTCAACGTCGGCGAGATAGCGAGAATATCTTACCGATGATCGGTTTAATAGCCACTGCCAGATTAAAAACTTGACTGAGAAGATATATCTGCTGGTTTGCTTTGAAAAGTTTAACTTTCATCAAAAACATTCTTTTCCTTCTACTCATTAGCCTAATATATTGTTTACATATATTGTTACAAATTTGTAGTTCTGTAAGTATGTAAGTTTTTAGAAAATTCTGCTTTTTCTTAACATAAACTTTATTTTTGAAGTGATACTTCTTTTGCGACTTCCAAACGTTTAACGCTACATTTTTATTGGCCGGGAAATCACGTGGTAGGATCCAGTTTTCCCTCATTCATTTCCATATTGTTTTGTTTTGGTTCTCACTAGCATAAAAATAATAAAAGTCATAGGTTTTCTCTTTTCTAGGGACTTTTCTAATTGCCATTTATATTTGGGATATTAAATTATTTATTGCAAAATCTTTTTTGCCACTATTCACTGCAGGTTCGCAAGTTCTGGCAGACGTTACAGGTGAAGAAATTGTTTATTATGAGCGGCCTGTGATCCTTGCAGGAGATTTTAATGTGAATTTCTCGTTACCTGAAGCTGAAACATTATTAACCTTCCTTAAAGACAAATTTGGATTGGAAATGATAAATGGTAGGAAAGATCCAACAACCAAAGGGGGAACTACCATTGATGCAGTTTTTGCAAGAAATATTGAAAAAAATGGAACTCAAACATTTCGTATCTTACTTTAGTTATCATAATCCCATTGTAAATGTTATAGATTTGGATATTTCTCCACTCGAAAATGATAATTAAAAGATGCGATCAATTGTGAGTTGTAAGCATTGTTAATAAAGTTTGTCTTAAAGAAACAGTATGATTTCACTAAAAATCAATTTCTACCACTTCCTATTTTCATTTCCACGTTACGAAGTTTCACCTCTTCCGCGCGGAGGGACTCCACGCACTATTTTTTTTAACTTTATGCTTAGTAACATGAATTTTCAAAAAGAATGCATTTACTGTTTAATAAGTTAAAATAGCATACACTTGTAATAAATTACTATGTTCAGACCATGAGGTAAAAAAAGGAGGGTTTCATGCTCAGGAAAGTAAAAATATTTACAAAATGAAATATCTACGATTTCTTACTATCTCTCCCCCCTCCCCCCTTTTGATGCTTCTTACACTATTAAATTGATATGTTTTGCTTTAGCTACATTTATACAGTGTCAGAAAGCACCATCTTCGTAAATATAATCAATGTGAACTGATGACAAGATATCTTTTCGCTGATATTTTTTCCCTTTCTTTATTTCTATGTTAAATATTTATATATGTAAAAAAATTTCTACGTTTATTTTATCTTTTGTTAGTGTAGTTACAAAATAAGAGAAAAGAAGAAGTTCATAAAACATACTGTCAATTAAATCGAGGTTTCTATTGTCAATTTTGCTACCCAAGTATTTCATGTTAATGCTGATAACCATTGATATTTCCATAATAATACCCGTTCCTGCCAACCGCACTCACCAAATCACCCGAGTTGGTTTTTTTACCTTTAAAATTAAAAACATTTTTTTTTTTAATTATCTGCCTGGTGGGGTTACAATTTATATTATATTTTCTAACTAACCCCCTTCTGTAATTTTTTTTTCTTTTTCATTTTTTAACATAGCACTGTCAAGTTGTTGCCAGCTTTTTGGTTTTTTCGTGGTGCAGCTATAGATACAGAATTATTTCTGATTAGTTATATCAAGAAAATTTAATCTTATAGAAAAAATTTCTGTATTAGTACCAACACTAAAGAGTTCCCTATTTGAATTTTTGTAGAAAATTTTGTAAAAGAACAAAACAAAAATAAATTCATAAAAAGTGCAAGTTTTAAATACTCCCAGTTAAACTGCTACATCTTTGCAAGTACAGAAATACTTTGATAATTGTATTTGGCGCAAACATGTATTAATGTAGAAATATCTCTATTTTATATTATTAAAAATTGGCTATGAACTTTTTTTAGTTATATTTTCAGACAAGTCAATCTGTTAATGTGATGTATACCTACCTATGATCTTGTAAAAAATTAAAGTAAAATTGTTATATACTATTTTATTATTATAAAGCATTAAATTTGAAACTTTCGTCCTATGAGGCAGCAATTAAATTGAATTGGTCAATAAATTAACTGTGCAAAAAGTCTTAATCATATTTCAAAAGCATGTTTTTATTTCTCTGTTTTTTTTCCCTTCTCGTTTATGTCTTATGCATGCTTTTTTGTAAGCAGTTTTACTAAATAAAAGCTGCTAACTCGTTGTGTTCCATAATAAAATTTCTATTTTATGTTTGAACTGGTCATGAAATGCATTCGAACCTGATTAAGGCTGTTTTTCGCAGGCTCTGTTATAATATGAAATGGGTTTTTTTTAAAAATTTTTGTGAATATTTTATTTTTATAACTGTTGTAAATTTGCAACTGTTACTCAAGACTGTTACCTATCTGCGTTTATTTTGAAAGTAGCGTAAAACACCATGGAGAAAAGCCACAATTTTATGAAAATGCAAAGAATTTATGGTCTAATTTTTTAATATTTAAAAATTTACTCCAATGCTGCATTACCTCAAAAGCTGCAAAAATTTAGCATAAGGCAATGATTTTGGTAATTTTCACGTAGGTGGAAAAAGGTTAGAAAATTGGCGATAAGTTATTTGTCTGTTTTGAAACCCAGATAATTCTTCAGGAAAAGATTATGTATATATATATA